TGGCTAACTAACCCCCTCCCACGAGTGTTGTGTGGGGATAAAGTCTTATTTTTTTAATTTATTTTTGTTTGTTTTCTATATCATAAAATATCAAGCAAGGCACTATTTTCGTGCAAAAAGTTAATTGAAATACTAAAGGAAATTCTGTAGTCTGAAAACAAGTGGCCCCAGATGTTTATTAGAATCCACACAAAAACCCAAAGGCCACATAAAAAGGTAATGAATGTAATTATAAAAGATAGCATAAATGCATATTCTTTCTCCTTTCGTCTCTTAACAGATCTAAAAGGCAATTGCATAAAAGCATATATTAATGATATTTGGGGGCCTGTAACATATTTCAACATAACAGCAGCACAATAGTGGGAGCAGCCAAGCTATATTTGAATAAGGAAATCATACAACTGGTAACTTTATTTTATTTATTTCTTTGTTCATGTGTTTGTTTGTTTTTGAAACAAGGTCTCACTCTGTGGCCTGGCTAGAGTGCTATGGCATCATAGCTCACAGCAACCTCAAAATCTTGGGCTTGTCTGGGCGCCCAATGCTCAGTGGTTAGGGTGCGGGCCACATGCACTAAGACTGGTGGGTTTGAACCCACCCTCTGCCTGCTAAACAACATCAACAAAAATGGCCAGTCATTGTGGCAGGCACCTGTAGTCCCAGCTACTAGAGAGGCTCAGGCAAGAGAACCACTTGAGCCCAAGAGTTTGAGGTTGCTGTGAGCTGTGATGTTACAGCACTCTACAGAGGGTGACAAAGTGAGACTTTGCCTCAATGAAAGAAAAAAAGAAAGAAAGAAAGAAAGAAAGAAAGAAAAAAGGAAGGAAGGAAGGAAGGAAATCTTGGGCTCAAGCCATCCTCTTGCTCTAGCCTTCCAAGTAGTTGAGACTACGGGTGCCCACCGCAAGGCCTGTCTAGTTTTTCTATTTTTAGGAAATTGCTAGGATTACAGGCATGAGCCAATGCACTGGGTATCAGCTGATAACTTTAATCCAGAAAATGAAATTAAGAGAACCATAAATGCAAAATAATAAAATTAATATAATAGGCCCGATATGGTTGCTCATGCCTGTAATCTCAGTATTTTGAAAGACCAAGGTGGGAGGATCATCTGAGAACAGCCTGGGAACATAGTGAGACCCTACCTCTACAAAAAAAAAATTTTTTTTTGAAACAGATTGTCACCCTGGGTAGAGTACCATGGCATCACAGCTCACAGCAACCTCCAACTCTTGGGCTTAAGCAATTCTTTTGCCTCAGCTTCCCAGGTAGCTGAGACTACAGGTGCCTGCCACAATTGCTTGGCTATTTTTATTTTGGTTGTAGTTATCATCATTGTTGTTTGGCCGGCCCGGGCCGGATTCAAACCTGCCAGCTCCAGCGTACGTGGCTGGTGCTCTAACCACTTGAGCTACAGGCGCCAAGCCCAAAAAATTGTTAATAAATTAGCCAGGCATGGTGTATCACACCTGTAGTCCCAGCTGCTTGAGAGACTGAAGCCAGAAGCTCACTTAAGCCCAGGAGTTGGAGTTTACAGTGAGGTATGATCACACCAGTGCACTCCAACCTGGGTGACAGAGCGAGGCCCTCTCTCAAACAAAAACAAAGATAAAAAGCTATGATTAGGAATCCACAATTCAACATGTCTTTTTTTTGTTGTTACATAAATTAACCAATAGGCTAGTGATGTCTGAAAAGGTGGTGTTTCTCTGGTTTTTCAATTCCTTCAGTCTTCTGATGGCTGACTTCTACTTGGATTTCAGAAGTAGGTTGTAGGTCTAGCCACCACCAGCTACTGCTTTAGTGTGAGATTCACAGTGCCAGATCCCCACAGCTTGTCTCTTCATCTTGGTTGTGCCACAGAAGGAACACGCATACTTGGCGTACTGGCTGATTTTAATTTTCTTCATCATTTTCCCTAAGGAGGCACCATAGCAGGTACTGTTTTTACCAATGATTCTGACCTTCTTGGTAGGTTTAGCTATGCCACTGCAAACTTAGATCCTAGAGAAACCCATTCCTTTTCTTTTCTTTCTTTCTTTCTTTCTTTTTTTTGGGGGGAGGGGACAGAGTCTCACTATGTTGCCCTCGGTAGAGTGCCATGGCATCACAGATCACAGCAAGCTCAAACTCATGGGCTTAAGTGATTCTATTGCCTCAGTCTCCCTAGTAGCTGGGACTACAGGTGGCCGCCACAATGCCCAGCTATTTTTTATAATTGCAGTTGTCATTGTTGTTTAGCTGGCCTGGGCTGGGTTCGAACCCACCAGTCCCAGTGTATGTGGCTGGCACTGTCACCACTGTGCTATGGGTGACAAGCTGAACATCTCTTTTAATAAGACAATCTAAGAAGGGAAATAATAGTCTTTCCAATGAATGGTGCTGGGACAACCGGACCTCCACATGTAAAACAATGAATTTGAACCCTTACCTCATGCCATATACACAAAGAAACTCCAAATTAATCATAGAGCTAAATGTTGTTATGATGTGAGAAAAGACCACCAGATAAATAATCTTCAAAATGTCAATAAGGAGCCTTTATTTAGACCACGGCCAGCTGCCCTCTTGGGTGAAGAGAGCAGCCACAACCAGGAATAAGGAAAGCAGCTTTTATAGGTTGAATGGTGAAGCAAGCAAGCCACTGGATTCTATAACCAGTGCGTACAGCATAGCACTTGCAGTTACTTGGTTAAGCAAAATAATAGTTAGATACAAAAACATTTTTAACATCAGTGGGGTCAGCATAACCTTATCCTGCCTGTGTGTGTTCTACAAAGTCAGCAAGGCCTTATCTTGTGTGTTCCTCAAGGCCTCATCCCGTGTGTCCTTTCTCAGCCTCTCCTCCCATCCCTGTTTCCTGGTAAAGGGGAATGGGGGAGCTGGGCCCCTGGCCTACTAAGCCACATCTCAATGTAAGACCTAAAACCACAAACTTCTCAGATGAAAACATACACATTAACATCATAACTTTGGATTAGGCAATTGTTTCTTT